ATCTTCCCAAAAATAGCATTACTAATTATGTGTATTAGTTAAGAATAAAATTACCATTTTATGAAACATTTAATATATATATTTACCATAAAAATTATTTTTAAAAAATAAATAAATATGAAATACAAAATATACTGACATGTCATGATTAGAATCAATAAAATAATGCATGTGAAGATGACGTCGAGTTAAAGCGAGCAATGAGGTCGAAAAAAGAAAAGCAGAGAGAGAGAGAGAGAGAGTTAACGCGAGCAACGTCAGCAATAATAAAATATATCTCATTTGTTGGAATATCTATTTGTCGGATTCTGTGGTCATGTTTCATTTGCTGCCGACTCTTGTGTGATCCCTGTTTTCCAGAGAATTCTTCTTCCTACCTACCCGCTACAAGTGGGTCATGGAAGCATTTTTGCTCAATTTTTCTCCAGTAATTAAAGTTTTTTTTTTTTTCGTCTCTTCCTTTGCTAGTCAAACATGTTAACTCTTGCAAGCAGTTTTAACAGCAAAAGTAGCTGGAACCGCCGATATACTTTGGTCGATCAAAGAAGATAATTAAAGAGACAAGCATGAAGAGATAACTAACGAAGTGGCAGAATAAAGCCGTAAGGATTGAGATGAGAGGCGAAAATTAAGAGGAAAACAGAACTAACAAAGTCAGTAAGCTAAGGAAACCTATGAGATAATAAGCTTGAACCACAGAGGCACAGGAGTAGAATTAGGGCATGAAAACGAAGTAATCAGAAATTAAAGATGAGACAATAAAGAACGGATTGAAGAGTACCTGATTGGCCATTTTGATGAGAACGTAAGGATCGCTGCTTTCGGCATCTCTGATAGCCAGATTCAGCCCTCGCTTGACTCGAACTATGAGCCGATCCATCAGCTTCGCAGCTGGGAACGCAGAGGCGAGCAATAGAGCCCAGAGGAAGGTTTATTCCTGCTGTTGATGAAAGCTAAGTTCCATGACAGCTTTTAAGCTTCAACCCGCTTCTCTTGTTGCCTCTCCTACTGGATGCTGGTCTTTGAGTAGTACACAAAAGTCTGTTTTCTGTTCTTTCACACCAGCTTTTGAAAAGTCATACACTCCTTCATTAGAACGGAGAAATATTAAATATTAATATAAAATATAGAAAATTAGGGTGAGGGAATTGACAGGTAAAGACCTTGTATGCAGGGAATTAATGTCAAATGAAGAAATATGCACAACCAATTGAAGTACACCTTCCCAGTTCAGCGTATACTTTGCTCTGGTTAAGTTACAAATGATTTCATGTGTTAAAAATAAGTTAAAATTAGTTTAACACAATAAATATATTAAAAATATTTTTTTTAATATAGAGATAATGAGTACTGAGTAAAAATGTACGGGCAGGTACTAAAACTTACACGTCATTAAGCTGCCAAGGGATTTGCTAATTGAAGTGTGTCATTTTTTTACGTTTAGAAAAGTTTAAATGAGTTGGATTTCAAAAGCTCATCAAAATTAAGATATATTTGCAGTTTAGCTTGTCCATAAATAATGTTTTTACATTAACAGCGGGATTCAAACTCATGATATTATGAGTTTTGAGTCGATTTCTTACCAACTATTACCTCTGATCCTTAATATAAGAACTATTTTGACATTTAATTTGATTATAAATAAAAGACTCTAATTCACTTTGTCTCACATATTTAATTTCACCATAAATATAAAACCTTGAATCGCTTTATCTCTCATATTTATTTATTTTTTTCAAAGTAGTTTTTGTAAGAGTTGCGTATGGTAAAAGTTCCATTAAATACTCCTCCGGTCCTTAATATAAGACCCATTTAACTAATTTGATTAGATTAAGGAAGTTAGGTAAATTAGTTAATTATAAGAAATGTGACACGTTTTTCCTAAAATACCATAATCATCTTTTTTAATACCTCATTTTCCTCTTCTACTTGATTATGGTTGAAGGAGTATCCATAAGGGTATTTTAGAGAAAATTGATAAATATGAGAAATGGGTCTTATATTTAGGACCAAAACTAACTCACCAATTGGGTCCTATATTAAGGACCGGAGGAGTAGTAGTTTTAGCTAATACATATGATTAGTAAAGGTATTTTAAAAAAGATAAAATATATTTATTACAAATAACTAGCTTAACAAATTTTTTTAATTAACTTAAATTAGTTATCCCTTTTCATATTAAGTGCCGGGGTAGTATATCAACTCTTGTGGGCTGAAGTCATAATTTCAGCCCAATTTTTCAGCCCAACTTGTTGTTTTCAATTAAGCCTTGTTTCTGGTCCAATATCAAGAGAGAAGGAATCCTCGATAAGCCACACGGGGTTCACGTAGCCATGCATATTTTGATATTATTATCTATTTAACTTTATTTTTATTCCTTCCATATTTTTTAACTATTTTAATATTTTTCCTGTAATAGCTAAGATCATAACTTAATTTTTAGTGCATCCTGCATTTAAAAATATTTTTCTATTGACACTCATTAACTTAAAAAGTATCTAGATATCCTAAAATTTAATTAATTTGAGATAGTGAGTATTGCGGGAAAAAAATATTTGAGTGCTAAAATTAACTCAAATAAAAATAAAAATAAATTAAAAATTAAAAGACAAAAAAAAAGAAGGGAAGGAAGCATCTCATCCCCAAACAGCAGCGTTTGAGAAATAAGCATTCCCTGCTCGTTGAATGTGGATTCAGGGTCATGTGCTCATATATATTTTGATATTATTATCTATTTAACTTTATTTTTGCCAATAAGAATTCATCCAATTAGTAAACAATCGGCTTATCACCCGCAAAATTATGAGATCGAATCCCACTGTTAATATAAGAACCTTGTTGATAAGTGATTTATATGCTATCTGAGCCTAAAAATATGTCCTGACCTTTGTACTCAACTCACCAAAAACTTTTATGTATAAAAAAAAATCATATTTTTATTCCTTCAATATTTTTTTAACTATTTTAATAGAAATTAGATACCAGGAAAATAAGTGTAACGTCACACAAAAGAAAAGGATAAGAAGAGAATGCTCTCAATTTTCTTTTTAAATTTTAATTGCCAACAACCCCTCATTCTTCCTAAGGTACGCGTGACTTTTTGAGTTTTGACCGGGGATAAAACACCTTCACAAGATCCGCTCTCAGTCTCTCACCAACCATCAGGTCGCCACACAGTGGAACGCTTCCACCGTACTAATTCCATTGTTCACAAAACTAGTATTTTATGTTGTTGAGCAGCCGTATGCAAAGGCATTATGACTCAACGTCAATACTGTAAAACTTAACAACCGATTAATTTATAGCTATTCTAGTGCATAGGATCAATACAAACAGCACTACAGCAGATAGCAAGTCTCGTCGAACTCCGCCCCAGTCTACATCCATAATTTTTTTATGGCAAATCACTAAGTATTAAAAAAATATATACTATTCCTGTTATTGATATAGAACCTATTTAACTATTTTGATTAAATTAAAAAATTAATTAAGTTGGATAATAATCATAAATATGATATATGCTTACCAGAATATCCTCAGTTAAAATTTTTATAAAACACTGACATTTCAAAAATATTTTAATTATTTTATTAAAAATATAAAATAGTAGAATTGATATATGTGTGGAATTAATGAGTAATAAGTACTCACTTACTTTATAAAATATATAGATGTATTATTAATGAATAATAAGTATTATTGTAGTATTTAACTATTTAATAGGGGTAATTTATGAAAGAATTGGTAAATATAATAAATAGGTCTTATATTTAAAACTAAAATCACCTTTCAAATCATGTCCTATATTAAGAACCGGGAAAATATTGAAAAAACACATGAACACACTGAACTAGTATTAACAATATATTTTCTTAGTGTATTGTAAAAATATAACGCATGAGAGGTCAAAATTTGTAATGCTTTGGGTCCAAAATATTGGCTTGGCCCGCAATTACAGAATTTGGATCACCTCTTATTCCTTATTTGTCCTGTTCGTCTCCTTTCCACCTTATCCTTATGTTTCTACCCCCAAAAAAAAAAAAAACCTTATCCCTATGTGGATTTACTGTTTACACCGGCGTTAGGATCAGATTGAATGGCAAAAGCCTCTTTTTCAAGCAAGTCCCGATCAACTTCTAAGATATAATTTAGTCTGAATTTGAAGGGTTTGGAGCCTCTAATATGCCTTTTTCTGATATTCTTTAATGTTCTTTATAATATATCAACTTCTCAAACCTTTTTTTAATATTCTACACAAAATTAGTGACATGCTGATATCTTATCTTTAAAAAATAGTGCAATTTTAATTTTTTTAAAACTAAAATACTTCAAAATTGTGCAATTTTGATTTTTTAAAAAATCATAAAAAATTAAAATTGCACATTTTTTCCCTCGTAAGATATTAAAATATCATTAATTTTATGTAGAATCTGATAATCAAAAGAAAAATAAAAGACATTTGGAAGGCTGGAGTATTACAAAAGGTGTTAGGGGAAGCAGTTAAGCACAGTAGATGTCCCAAATACCAATTTGAATAAGTCAGTAGTACTAAATAGTGAATTACAAATCATTATGGGAATCTGTCGCTTGAATTTAGGAGGAAACTAAATTAATATTTGTAACACTACAATATGAGTAAAATTTTAAGATAACAAAATTATAGTTATAGTTATCTGTAAGAGGTTTTGCAATTTACACAAACCTAAATACCCTTTTCCATGTATAGCATGGGATTTTGAGAAAATGAGACATGCGGGTTATATTATCCCTCTTGATATGGCATCATACTCTCGGCAAGTGTTTTGAAACAGAAAAAGTAACAATTTACTTATTCAAAATCCAATTAAGTTTTTGTGACTTTTTTTTTCAAAGTCACATCTTAGTATATCGTCAATAAATAAAACTAGTCAATCAATCCATATGTGTTGCAAAATTTTTGGGAAGATCTACTAATAATGCTTCTTTTTATAAACTTAAAAAAACCAATAGAAACCCTAAAGTACCAGACCATATGTGTATTGGAATGATGAATAAAGCTTTTAAAAACAGCTTCTTAATTGTAATTTACAATGTGCAAGATAAATATGTAAGATGAGTTCTGTCCTGATTTACGTGAATATCTTCATGAGAACCGGCTCCAAGCACGCAATCCTAAAACCTCCTTCCCAAGCCTTTTCAATTAAGGCCAAGCATGAAACCTCTCCATCTCCTCTATGCAGTCTCTCTGAGAGACCTTCAATAACTTGGCCTGTACTAAGCAATGCGAACATATATGGCTTGTACTCCACCTCATTAGATAGATAATCTCTAATGATCAAAGTGCAATATCAATCCCTAAGAGTTATTCATCTAAATATACTAAGCTGACATTAACAAATGCACCTGAAGGTCATTTGAGAAATGTGTGGTCTCAATATTTACACAAACACTAGAGGCCACTGGGAGTGGGAAGCTTAATCCATCGCAATTGGAGCTCCACTTCCCCACACTCAACATCTTTCAATCTAAGGGCCATGTTCTGAACAACTTGACCATCTTTCCACACAATTTGGCTCCTTTCAACAAGACGGTTTTGCCGGTTCGGCAGTATTGTTCTTATGGTAGTTCCATCAGGGAGGCCTTCCAAACCCATTTTCACAGCTTCAACAATTGGATTAATGTCGAACTCAGCCTCCCCCATTTTGTCATCAAAGCTAAATATGTCTCTGTCATACACAAACTGCAATCACAAGAGACAATAATGGAGCATGTTGATTCATTTGATTTCTAGTTTTGGCATATAAATACATGACAAGTAACCTGCAGGTAATATATACTTCATTAACATATGCAAGTATCGTTTTGTTTTATATGGGTTGTCAACTTTTGTCGAATGATAGCAAACAAGGGAGTTGCAAAAGAAAAACAGTTACTGACAAGTTGGACCGGGAGAGGAGGATCTGAAATGCATAAAGTTAAATCTTCATTCCACTCAGGATTGAGACTCCTCTTCACTACTCGAGTCTTCAATTTCTGCATCGGACATTATAAGCAGACGTCACTTTAATTTAGCACAGCAGGGAAATCTTACGAGGTTGTTACCTCGTCTCAATTATAATTCAATCTTAAAGCTAACTTAAATCCAGGAGCAATGTTCTAACCAGATGGACTTTTTTCCTGCTGAAAAGTTAAAGCAGATGAACATACATGCACAAGAACAATTAGTATCCTTGTCAACTGATAAAAGCATCGCCAAAATTAAAGCCATAACCAGAAGCATCACCAAGAGAATTAAAAAAGCACTAAGATAACAGAATCAAAATTGAATTAACCTGCTTGCCCATTTGGAAAACAACACAAGGATCACTGCTTCTGCTGAAGGTATCTCTGATGGCAAGATTTATGCCTCTTTGGACGCGAATTCTGAGCAGACCCAACATGTTCTCCATTGATAATTGGAGCTCCACTTCCCCAGATTCCACATTCTTCAGTCTAAGAAACATGTTTTGGACAACTTTGCCATCTTTCCACACAATTTGGCTCTCCTCAGCCAGACAGTTTTGCCGGTTGGGTTCTATTTTTGTGATGATTGTTCCATCCTGGAGGCCTTCTAATTCCAACCGCTTCTTCGCAGCTTCAAGAAAGGGATTAATGTCAAACTCAGCCTCCCCCATTTTGTCATCAAAAAATTTGTCCTTGTCGTACACAAACTGCAAGCAATTGCAAGACAATGAATGATGTTATTGCCAAGTTCGTGTCTCAGTGAATCTCATCTTCTGAATCACTAACTTCAGCAAATCTCATCTTCTGTATTATATACGCAGGTAAAGATTTTCATTGTAAATAAGCAATGCAATGCATTGATTGTGAGAACCCCACATCTGTTTCTCATTGTAATGGCCTAGATTCAATGTGCTCATTAATAAAACAAGAGAATGTTTGTTTGATTTTATTCAAGTTCCGACAAGTCACAAGTTCCTGGGAATTCATTATTGATTAATTTGACTGAAGTTAATTAGATTGTGAATATAAGTTTCATTCTTGTAAAGAGTTAAACAAGATGGCGACTTACAAGTTGGACTGGGAGATGTGGATCTGAAATGGATAAAGCCAGGTCTTCATTCCACTCAGGATTGATATTCCTCTCCACCACACGAGTCTCCAATTTCTGCACCAGACAAGAAACAAAATTTTACAACGTTCTCAACTAATCATCTAATTTTAATTCAATCTTAATACTCCTCCGATCCTTAATATAAGACCCATTTAACTAATTTGATTAGATTAAAGAAGTTAGGTAAGTTAGTTAATTATAAAAAAGTGACACATTTTTCCTAAAACACCATAATCATCTTTCTTAATACCCCCTCTTCTTCTTTTACTTGATTATGGTTGAGGGAGTATTCATAGGGGTAATTTAGAGAAAATTGATAAATATGAGAAAGGGCTCTTATATTTAGGACCAAAACCAACTCAAGAATTGGGTCCTATATGAAGGACCGGAGGAGTATCAAGGATTTTTCACTAAACAACAAAGGAAAAAAGTGTACAGATTTCAATTCAATCTTAAACGCCAACATGACGTGACGTGACGTGACGCCCATATGGTCACGGTAGTCTGCTTATCAGTACGAGGCCAGTGGAGGTGACAGACGGATCTTTTCGTGAGTAATCACTTGAGCGGGAGATGTTACGTTGGTATGTCGTAAATCCCAACTACGTTTAATATTAGTGGAATTAGTTTGAATTATTTATAATGGTTAAATTTTTTTATCGATTTTATTTTTTTTTAAATTCAAATCATACTAGTTCTAGTAATCAATTTTTTGGGCCGAGAGTAATTAGAAAGATTTGGCTTCTATCCATTTCTTCTGCTCTCCACTTTCTTTTTACTTCCCATCACAAGTTCTCAACCCTTGGATCAAAATAAGGATAGTTAGAATTTAACATTTTATAAAATATTTTTCACTTTCTTCTTAATTATCATTTTGAACTAATTAAGTTTTCATAATTTAAATTTGATTAAAAAGCATGATACTATCTTTGGTACTTAATGCTTAATACTCCTCCGGTCCTTAATATAAGACCCATTTAATTAATTTGATTAGATTAAGGAAGTTAGGTAAGTTAGTTAATTATAAAAAATATGACATTTTTCCTAAAACACCACAATCATCTTTCTTAATACATCATCTCCCTCTTTTATTTTATTATGGTTGAGAGAGTATCTATAGGGGTAATTTAGAAAAAATTGATAAATATGACAAATGAGTCTTATATTTAAGATCAAAACCAACTCAAGAATTGAGTCCTATATTAAGGACCGGAGGAGTATTAAACTTAATGGACTAATTTGAGTATAATAATAAGTAAATTCGTTGAATTAGATATTTGTAATAAATAAATATTATCCTTCTAAAAGTATCATTGCAAATTATGTGTATTAGTTAAACATAGAATTATGGTTTTACGAAACATTTAACATTTATATCTAAGATTATTTTTTAAAAAATAAATAAATAAGAAATGTCATATTTAGAATCAATAAAATAATGGCATGGGAAGATGACGTCGAGTTACAGCTAGCAATGAGGTCGAGAAAGAAAAGCGAGAGAGAGAGGAGAGAGAGAGAGGGAGAGAGAGCGAGCAACGTCAGCAATAATAAAATAGAGGGATCTTATTTGTCGGAAACATCATTCATTGCTGATTTTTGTGTTATTCCTGTTTTCCAGAGTATTCTTCTTCCTGGCCACTCATTACTAGTGGGTCATGGAAGGGTTTTTTGCTCAGTTTAAAAAAAGAAAAAATAGAATTCTCAGAAACATGTTGTGCTTCACATTTTTCTCCATTAAATAAAGTTTTTTTTTTTTGTCTCTTCCTTTTCTATTGTCAAACATGGTAACTCTTGCAAGCGGTTTTAACAGCAAAAGTGGCTGGAATTGTTCAATCTATGAATACCGCAGCCTTTATACTTGGGTCGATCAAAGAAGCTGATTAAAGAGACAAGCATGAAGAGATAAGTAACGAAGTGGCAGAATAAAGCCGTAAGGATTGAGATGAGAGGCGAAAATTAAGAGGAAAACAGAACTAACAAAGTCAGTAAGCTAAAGAAACCTATGAGATAATAAGCTTGAACCACAGAAGCACAGGAATAGAATTAGGGCATGAAAACGAAGTAATCAGAAATTAAAGATGAGACAATAAAGAACGGATTGAAGAGTACCTGATTGGCCATTTTGATGAGAACGTAAGGATCGCTGCTTGCGGCATCTCTGATAGCCAGATTCAGGCCTCGCTTGACTCGAACTATGACCCGATCCATCAGCTTCGCAACTGGGAACCCAAAGATGAGCAATAGAGCCCTGAGGAAGGTTTATTCCAGGTGCTCAGGAAAGCTAGGTTCCATGACAGCTTTTAAGCCTCAACCCGCTTCTCTTCCTACCTCCACTACTATATCCTAGTCTTTGAACAGGACACGAAAAGTTTCATTTCTTTTCTTTCACACCAGCTTTTGAAAAGTCAATATCCATATATATATATATATATATATATATTAAATATTAATATAAAACATAGAAAATTGGGGGAGGGAATTGACAATTAAAGACCTTGCATGTAGGGAATTAATGTCAAATGAAGAACTATGCGCAACTAACTGAAGTACTCAGGCCAAAAATGAGTTAAAATTAGTTTAAAAAAATAAATATATTTAAAATATTTTTTAAATATATCTTTAAATATAGAGATAATGAGTACTGAGTAAAAATGCAAGGGCAGGCACTAAAACTTACACGTCATTAAGCTACCAAGCCATTTGCTAATTGAAGTGTGTCATTTTTTTATACAGTACAAAAAAAAAAGTTTAAATGAGTTTGGTTTCAAAGGCTCATTAAAATTAGAATATACTTTCAGATTAGCTTGTCCATAAACAATGTCTTCATATCATTAGCGGGATTTAAACCCATAATATTGTGAGTTCTAAGTTGATTCCTTATCAACTACTATCTCCGATCTTTAATATAAAAATTATTTTGATATTCAATTTGATTATAAATATAAGACCTCAACTCATTTTGTTTTTCATATTTTTTTTTCAAAATAATCCTTGTAATTGTTGAGCATCTTAAAGGTTCCATCAAATGATAACTGTAGCTAATATATATGATTAGTAGGGATATTCAAGGAAAGATAACACATATTTATTACAAATAACTAATTTAACAAACTTCTTTAATCTATTCAAATTAATTAACCAGGTCTTATATTAAAGATCAGAAGTAATATATCAAGAGCTTGTTTGAAGCTCTGTTCAAAACGAACTTTTAAGTAAGTTCATGTAAGATGAGATAAAATTCTTTTCATAGGCTTATCTCTTATTTTGTAAATTACGTTTGAAAAATTACTTATAAGCCAACCTACTAACTCTTGTTGGCCGAAATAATTCTTTCAACCCCATTTTTCCAGCCCAACCCTATTTTTTAATTATTAAGCCTTGTTTCTGGTCTAATATCAAGAGAGAAGGAATTCTCGATGAGCCACACGGGGGGTCACCCACTCGTATATAATTTGATATTATTATCTATTTAACTTTATTTTTATTCCTTCAATATTTTTTTTAACTATTTTAATAGAAATTAGATACTAGCAAATAATTATAACCCCACACAAAGGAAAAGGATAAGGACAGAATCCCCTCAATTTTCTTTTTAAATTTTAATTGCCAACAACCCGTCATTCTTTCCAAGATACTCGTGACTTTTGAGTTTTGACCAGGGATAAAACACCTTCACAAGATCCGCTCTCAACAAACATCAAGGCCCCGCACGGTAGGAAGCTTCCCCACTACACAAATTCCATTGTTCACAAAACTAATATTTTTGGTTGTTGAGCAACCGTATGCAAAAGCATTATGACTCAATACTATAAAACTTAACCGATTAATTTATAGCTATTCCAGTGCATAGGATCAATACAAACAGCAATACAGCAGATAGCTAGTCTCACCAATGTCCGCCCTACTTACATCCATAATTTTTTTTTTTTAATGACAAATCACTACATATTAAAAAAACACATGAACACATAGCGGGTTCTCACTAGGATGTGAAAAGGGGAAAAGAGAATAAAAGTACTGAAGAAATAAAAGAGCAAGGTGGAGGCTTATGAGACTACACTGAATCTCTCAGTATTTACAATGTGCGAAGCAGAGAGAGCATCTGATCATGTGGAGCACAAAGCTACAGACCCCTGGAACCAGGAATGTCAATCCATTGCAATTGGAGCTCCACTTCCCCAGACTCTACATTTTTCAGTCTAAGAACCATGTTTTGAACAACTTTGCCATCTTTCCACACAATTTGGCTCTCTTCAGCAAGACAGTTTTGTCGGTTCGGACAAATTCTTGTGACGATAGTTCCATCAGGGAGGTCTTTCAGCCGCATCCTCACAGCTTCAAGAAAGGGATTAATGTCAAACTCAGCCTCCCCCATTTTGTCATCAAAACTGAATTTGTCTTTGTCATACACATACTGTAATCACAAGAAAACGGAGGATGTTACTGTCAAAGCTCCCTCACCAGCTCATGCAAAGAGCCAATGAACAAAATTCGTGTTTCAGTGAAGGTCATCAGCTGAAACACTAACTTTCGGTAAGTGTTCATTTATTCTGTGCATAGGTAACATGGAAGTTGTATATAGTAAATGGGGAATGCATTGATTGTGAGAATCCAACATCTGTTTATGTTTGTAATGGCTTAAATTCAACGTATTGATGACAAGATACTCATATTTATTAACAGACCAATGGAATGTTTGGTGAAAAATCACAAGACAATAAAGGATGTCGTTCCCCAAAGTTGATTGCAGAATAAAACTAACCAATTAAAGTATTCCTTGTGCAATTGGCTTGCGTAAAAAGCCAATAGAACAACCCAAAATACGCATCTAAATAGATCTCAAAACCTGAAACACTCACTTTGATAATCGACTCCCTACATACCCTGTCACTACATTAAATATGTAATTATGTAGTTAAGAATTTCCTCTGTAACTAAGCAGTGCATTGATTTTGTGAACCCCATCAACCAAGCAGGGAACACATTGATGTTCAGATGTCCATCTCATCAGCCATCTAAGCTAGTCTTCGGTGGTAAAAGAAAGTTGGGGTGTGTATAGTGATTTAAGATTCAAATCCTCCTTTCGTATCTAAGAATAAATAAGAAAAAAGATAGTCATTGATTATTATATCCATGGGGAATTCATTTTTATTGAATTTGATTTAAATTTAGACAATTCATAAACCCAAGACCCATTAAAACTTGAAAAACAAAAGATTAGTTTGATTGATATTAAATAACAGCAGGCAATATGCTTCAGATACATGACAACGATAGAGTTGCAAAAGAAAAATTACTTACCAGATGGACTGGAAGACGAGGATCTGAAATAGACAAGGTCAAATCATCATTCCACTCAGGGTTGACATTCTTATTTATCACTCGAGTCTTCAATTTCTGCACCAGACATCATATGCAAACATCACTTGAATGTACAGAAGGAAAATCTTTAATTCAATGTTAAAGCTAATTTAACACTACACAATCAAATCCCAGCGCTTAAGTAGATGAATATGCATGCACCAGAAAAATCATCCCCACCATCCGGTCAAAGTAGGGTAATTTATGAGTATTATCACATTATGAATGATAAAACAACCATGGAAAATTAAGCAGGGCCGGCAATAGAAAATCCTGCTTTTCGATCGAACTAATTTTTCCCGCAGTGATAAAAAGAGCGTGATAATTTTTTATTTGCAATATGGAAGATAGCCTTTACTCTTCCAAGTATGAAAATAGCTGGAATTGTTCAACGTATGTACAGTGACTTGATTTAGGGGAGAAATCGCTAAATTTCTTGGCAGCTGGTTAAGTCAAAGTCAGTAAAGACGGAGCGGTGAAAAAAAACCAGAAGCTTCAGAGCCGGCACGATCAAAGGAGATAATCAAGTAGCAAACTAAGATGGACGAACGGAAGCAAAACGATTGAGATTAGAGACAGAAATGACCAGAAAAATTAACCCAGAATCAAACTCAATAAGCTAAAGACACCGTCACAGAAAGATAGAAGCTAAAACAGAGAACACGAAGTCCGGATAAAAGCACCAAGACAAAGCCATACAGAGAAAGAGTAATGAAATTCCATCAAAACAAGAGTTACAGAATAGCAATCAAAATTGAATTACCTGCTTGCCCATTTTGATGACAACGTAAGGATCGCTGCTTACAACATCTCTGACAGCGAGATTCACGCCTCTCTGAACGTGAATTCTGAGCAGACCCAACAAGTTCTCCATTGACAGAGGCAGGAGAGAGAGAGAGAGACCCAGGAAGAAATGATGAAATGGCGGCAACGTGAAGGAGAAAGGGGACCTGTGACTCGAAGGGAAGGAGGAAAAACGTGGGAGCAACTAGCGAGTCTTTCATACACTGAGAAGTGGATGAATAGGGGTGAGCATTTATGTAACCATGAAAAAATCCAGAGTCTTGGTATTATCTAGAATTTTAATTTAATTGAGTGTTTAGTTTCAGACTCCGCCTCACGCGCCGGAGCTGCCCGGACTGTTGCCGAATATCGCAATTATTGGCTTATTGCGTGTTTGGTTCAGGGGAATCCTTATTATTATCTACTCATCTAGTCCTATTTATAAAACATATCTAACATATTTCACACAGATTAAAAAAAAAACCTTAAACTGCATTAACTGTTTATTAAAATATAATAACTTTCTAATTTTATCCCTGTTTAATATATACATCTTCAAAAAAAAACTATCTACACTATAATAAATGAAAGACAGTATAGTATATTCATGATAAAAATTTAAGGGAAAATTGCAAAAAAAGACCTTGGAATTGCAAAAACGCAGATAGGGACCCTTGACAACTTCACTTTGGGTTTTGACAACTTCAGGGCATATTATTCTTGTCAAAACCCAAAGTGAAGTTGTCAAGGGTCCCTATCTGTGTTTTTACAATTCCAAGGTCTTTTTTGCAATTTCCCCAAAATTTAATGAAGTGACTTATAAATAAAAAAAAAAAAAAAATTCTCTCTACCCTATAAATAGAATAAGAAGAATATTTTGTAATTTCTGATTTTCTCGATTGAAAATATTATATGTTTTATAAGGTAAATTTAAGTCAGTTTTTCTGTATTAATATTTCTTATTATTCACCAACTATATGCATGACTTATCTTTCAAACTTATGTATAGTGTGTTTGGGTCAACTTAAAAACAATAAATTTTTATATATAACTTAAAGATTATGCAATTACAAAATTATATTATCTCAACTTTGATTTTATGATCTGATACATCATAAGATTTTTTGAAATGTTAATGAAATTATTTAGAACAACTTTTCAAAGTTTCTTCATCAAAAATTCGAATAATATAATTCTAGTATACTCTCCTCAGTTTGATTTCAAAAAAGACTCCTACCTTATCTGAAGATTCAAAATAAATTTCAGTACCCCATTTGGATACTAATCAATGGCTGCCGGTTTGAGTTTGTCATTTTCTGCCAAAAAAAAAAAACGATTACGGTGTGTTTTTAATATTTTAAAAAAATTAGGTTAAGATCATATTGTTTATGCAATCTTTGCTAATTTTTCTTCCAATATTTGTCATTTGTCACATGTCTTCTTCCCACGTATCACATTTGACTCCAAGGAGTATGAACCAAACAGGCACTAAATAGATAAACTTGGATTCCATCAAATTTGTTCACAATTAAAGTGGGATGAGAAGATTTCATATTGATGTCATTGGTTTTTTTAAAATTAATCTTGTTATGTTATTCTATTTGGCGGGTCTATATTTTTAAAAAAAATGGAAACAATATCGAAATATTGGAATGGTTTCCTATTATTTTTTAAATCAAAGTACAACAAAACAAAATTTCATTGGAGGTCCTGTTATCATATGTTTGTTTTAAAATGTTTATTCTTTTTCTATAAAATTGTTGATTCTTTCATCCAGATATAAATACTCTCTTTACTCCATAATATAAAACGTTAGTGAGAACAAAATTGTAATTCAAAATATAAAATATTTTAAAAATAATTAATGTGATTTTTCCGCTTTCACCCCTATTATATATAGGAGAGAAATGAGAGATAATAAAAATATAACATTAAATGTAGTTTTATTTTTTAAAAGGATAAAATAAAAAAAACTCTGTTATTTTAAGATAAATTTAACAACTAAACTTTCATTTTATTAATATGTGATAACTGAGAAAAAGCTATCCAATTTTTTATATTATAGAGCAGAAGGAGTATATAAAAAAATGCCTATTGTTTTTAATATCACACATAATCACGATATTATATCAACATCTTTTTTCTCATTGTCTTTCATATTACATATCTCTATCTGTTTATCTATATACTAACTACGATACTTAATGTAGGACCTCATTTAATTTTTATTTTGGTTTTAAATATAAGACCTCAGTTCATTCTATATCTAATATTTATGTATTTTTTCTAAGATAGTCCTTCTAATAATGATAGTTATAACCAATACACTTGATTAACAAAGATATTTTAAAAAAGATAATATCTATTTATTATAGATAACTAATTTAATTTTTTTTAATCTCTTTAAATTAGTTAACTAATTCTTATAACTAAAAGAGGAGGTAGTAATTAAAGCAAGCCCACCGCCAATAATAATTGGGCAGAATAGGTCAGCTGAGAATTCATTCACGTCTAGCTTTTTCCTAAAAGCGTACTTGTCATTTGTCAATTCTGGTAGAAAGAGTCAAGGAAACAATAAGGGCGTACTCATCAACTTTCTCTTACAAAGAATAGAAGAAATGGCCTAACACGACATTATAAAGAACTCCTGCCCCCCAAAAATAATACCACCTCCGCTGCTTTATATAAAATTAATTTTTATCCTAAATATAATATTTTTATTTATTTTATCTTTTATTATTTTTCAAAATATTTCTATTAATTACAAGGGTTCCCATGATAATTTTAACCATCCATGCATATAATTAAGAAAGATAGTTTAAACAGATCAATATATATTTGTGACAAATAACGAACTTAACTAATTTTTTTAATATTTTAAAATTAGTTATCTAACTATTATATTAACGACGGTAATATAATAAATAATAAAAATGACGCACCAATATTAATGTAAAATAAAAAATAAATATTATAATAAGTCACGTGAATGATTTATTCATTAAATTAATGATAATAAAAACAAAAAGATTGTATAAAATCATAATTTTTTCTATTTTCAAAGAAATATAAATAGATACACTTATATCTGTATAATTTAAAAATATAAGTAAAGCTTATTCATGTCTAGTCAGCGATTTCATTTCTCTTTATAAAAATATGTCCGCTGATAGGGCCTGCACATAATAATAAAATATTATGTTCATAAATCTTCCTGTTGTAGTCGCCCACCACATTTGTTGCTAGAATCGGATGATGAAATCGGTTGACTGACTCAACCTTAGGTTAATCACAATCTGATTGGGGTTCGCTAAATAAATCAGTGTTTCAACTGGTTTAATACGATATTATTTACCCAATTACGAGGCCAGACCGTGTTTTATATTCTACCCACTTTAAAATCTTGTAAAAATTGTTCAAAAATTTTTCATTGCAAAACTTAATTCCTAACAATAAACAGGATTGAGTTTAATAAAAAGGACTAGTTTTCCGTAACATGATGAACTAAAAGTTAAATCCATACTGAGAAAGGTACTTATGTTTAGTGCCCAATAATATTTTGAACAGAATTGCTTCTAATAAAAAAAATAGTTGTACTTAAAAAAAAAAGCTTAATTCCCAAGAACGAACATTTTAAATTTGCTTAACTTATGTTTCACAAGTAAGACTCTTAGGGTCTCAGAATGGAGAGGAAAGGATAAGAAAATTTTTTTTAATGAGCTTATTTTAAAAAATTAAAAAAGTGGGGTTATAAGATTTTGATGAAAAGAAAATACAAGATAAAAGAGTAAGAAAAATTAATTAGAAGATTTTAATCCCATTTTTTTAATTTTTAAAAATAAACTCATTAAATTTTTTCCCACCCTTTCCCTTTCCCTTTCCTCGTACTAAAAAGACGCTTAGTTTTATTACGCGTGCGCTATTTTAAGTTATAATATTTGTACGATGTAACACACCTAATACACAGTGTTAAATTGCCTCTTTTTGGACAATAAATTTTACAACACCATTCTCGTCTTCAATGTACGAATTCCTTAAAAGTTAAATTTGATTTTAAATATAATATTTTAAATAATTTTGTCTCGTAAATTCATAATTTTTTTTAAAAATTCGATATTTATTACAAATAATTAATTTAATTAATTTTTAATATATTAAAATTAATTATTTAATTCTTATATTGAAGATTAAACTTATTAACAAATTTTTAACAATTTTTCCTAAAGTTTACATGGATAGCTCTTCCCATGACTTCCCCTTCTTCTCCCTCTTCTTCTCTCCTCTATTAGCATCGATAAACACCAAAACATTGCATCCACGACCTATCTAATATCTATACAGAACCACAGAATCAGAATCACACATTAATTTATGTGATTATTGATACTAAGTTGTTTTTTTAATAAACAATGATGAGTTATGTCATTCATTTATCATATTTACGCATACGACGACACCGGCTAGCTTAAATAAAGCTAATATGGTTTCCATACACTTGAAAAAGTCGGAACACATTATTCATCAGTATTGCATGGTGTGACTTTTAAAGATAGACTTATTTTATAGTGTATTTTTAAATATAATACTCATTTTGTCGTATATTGAGTGCTACACAGATAGAAATTATTAAAATAATAATCTCTTTTGCCCTAATTATGTCACTATTATAAGGTGCATTATACAACTTCTTCCTATTTAAAATGTAAGTTTAAAGGATTATCGTATGAATATATGACGGTTCGATTTTTAAGGTAAAAGTGCATGTAGTATGCTGGTTTTATACAATATTTTGGTTTCCTCATTTTATTTTTAAAAATTATAGTTTCAGTTTTTTTAAGGGAAAATTTCACTGTAGGACCGCAGAAGACAATTAATATCAAAGAGCCCCCAAAACTTTCTGAAACCTCACTGCAGGACCAAGGGACCAATCTGATATTAATTTTTAGAGTGAGATTACAATATACCCCTCCCTTTTTATTTTATTAAAAAATAAATATTTACCGGAGTTACTGTTCCGGCCACCGGAGGTCGGAGGTCCGGCCACCGGCGCTCAGGGGGCTGCCGTCGGGGTCCGGTCAACGGTGGCCGGAACAAGTAACTCCAGCGGGACCTCCGGTGGCCGGAGTTTTTTTGTTTAAAACAAAGTGGCCAAGGGAGGGTTTGAACCCAGGACCCTTGGCACACCAAAAGACTTGTAACCACCAAGCCAAGCAACCCATTCAATCATA